CCGGCGGAGCCGGCCGAACGATCCGGACGGGACCGAAACCATGTGTACCGCCAGCGCTAACGCTGGTGGTACAATAAAATTCCAAGTTATTTTAAGGGATCAAACAGATAAAAGAAAATTAACAAGAACAGAACAAAATGCAACTATTGTAACATATGATGATATGAAGCACAAAAAATAACAAACTGAACCACCAAAAGCTATACTGCCCATTACATCCTCTCTACACTTTTTACCATCGCCACATCAACAGGGTTAAAAAGCCCTAGCATCAGCTAGACCAGCTATACTACATGTACTATATCCTCACTATAGTACTAACCTTAACTACATCAACAGGGTTAGAGGCTATAGCACCAGCTAGACCAGCTATACTGCTCGATCTGAAAATAAAGGAAAATAATCAATAGAATTTTGAATTTTTTTTATTGGCTCTCTGCCCTAACTGTTTTATTGTCATATCTGAACCAACAAATTGTTTCTCTATAATATATTTTTAAGAACCGAGATGATGCCCTTACAGTGAACAAAGGCTGTGTGCTATTCTTATATTTGTCTACAACTATTTTTAACACAAATTTCTATACATATTGTACAGAATCATCATTTGTTTGGTGCATTTGTTTACAATAAAATCTTACAATTCAAAAATGTGTCATTGCTAAAATATTCATATCATTCATATCTTTTCACATATTAATCCAACTTTAAGAGAAATAATTTCAAAACATAGTTAATTACTTACGACCTAATAACATTTTCAAATTGCTTTTTTTTTTTACATACATATATTTCAATTTTCAAGATTGATATCAATATAATCAACAGCTCTTTAGCTGGCTATACTCCTGATACTCACATAAAATGTGTGGATGGGGTGTCACCCATGATGCCATACTTGTGGATGAAAAGATATTTAGCTAAATCATATATCGGTAGTTCCACACCCACTACGATCCCTGCTCGCTGGGCCGTGCAACTCACTCCCTGTAAACAGGCCACATTTATGTCTGTGAGGTGTATATGGGACCATTCAGATCGAGAAAAGCCAAGTGCTAGTAAGGCCGCGACCTAAATATGGCAGACCTACATGAAAGGAAGACCGCTAATCCTGTAATGGTTTTTCCGCCTCTCACAGCCGAGATTTAATTACTGTGCCCCTGCAGGGACGAAGCGTGGGGAGGCGTGTGAGAGGCGGAAAAACCATTACAGTATTAGCAGTCTTCCTTTCATGTAGGTCTGCCATATTTAGGTCGCGGCCTTACAAGCACTGGGCTCTTCTCGATCTGAATTGTCCCTATGGTTTTGATGAGAGAATTTCTGAACAATGTAATACTATGAGCGCATTCAGAACAGTGACCTAATAAAATAGCTTGCCGTTGAATTCCCGATTAGACACTAAATAGGGTTCCTGCAGGGATTACGCAACAAGCATTCAAGTGGGTCAGCCATATTTGATCTACGGATTTGTTACTCTGCTGTTCTGAATGTGGTCTTTGGCAGATGTCAAGAACAAACAACCCAGGTGTGAGTAACAGGTATTCATGCATGTGAGATAAGGCATAATTAGGTCCTTTGTGCTTGACACCATTATCATATAACAATGCTTCTATGTGAGAAATCTTAAAAAACCACATCAGATTTTGCAGGACTATTGTATTTTGATACTTGAATATTGAAATTTAAATTACTTGGTCATTTAAATAATAATTTGTACTGGCATTTGTTACTTATATTATAGTCAAATCTTTTAAAAGAATTTTCCCTTATGCTGCATAATTTCAAAATATAACATTCTCTATTTCTAAATGAGCTAAAAATTAAATTAATTTATAAATATTATCATGCATCAGCAAGTGATTCTTCTAACTGCAAACTTTTGTATGATCTTAACATCGTTTCAACTTCTTTTTCTCAGCAGCCAAGTAGAATGTGCACAAAAATAAAATAAAATAAATAAATAAATAAATAAATAAATAAGTGCTCACCCTCCAAAGCCCCTTAACCCCCTCCTTGGTGTAGATATCTTTAAAAGACTGGAACACCCCTAGTTGTTCACTGGAGTGACCTTGGGCCTGCATACGGACCTGGGAAAGGGAAAAAAATTAGTGTGATAATTTAAGAGTCTAATGTTTAATGGCAATCAGGTGTTACACCTTTAAAAGTCACAAGTAAATGATTTTTTCTGGAAATTTCAGCATTTCTTTCTTTATCACCAATATACGTATGACACATTTGAATAACCATAAAAAACCTGTATTTGAGTTTTCGTAACAGTAAAAGTTAGAAAACTTTGAACCTTTAATTGGATTTATTGCTTGAAATATTCTGAGCAGTTAAGGATAAAGTATACTCTGAAAGTAAAATTGGTTGATTTTCTGGGAAAATTGATTTTCTTTCCTATATGCATGCCTGGAATGCACTATATACTTTCTTAAGTACGTAAAAAGTATTGTGTAACAATTTGTTAATTGTGGCACATTGATTGCGTTAGTTGTGACAGTGCTGAGACATACAATTTACTGAGATGTCTCACCTTGAGCACATCTGTAGGATTGTGTTAGTTGTGACAGTGCTGAGACATGCAATTTACTAAATGATATATCTCACCTGGAGCACATCTGTGGGATTGCATTAGTTGTGACAGAGCTGAGACACATTTAATAAATAAATCTCACCTTGAGCACATCTCTGGGATTGCATTAGTTGTGACAGAGCTGAGACACATTTAATAACTAATATATCTCACCTTGAGCACATCTCTGGGATTGCATTAGTTGTGACAGAGCTGAGACACATTTAATAACTAATAAATCTCACCTTGAGCACATCTGTGGGATTGGCAAGTGAGCTTGAAACAACACCAGCTACTATACCACAGAACACATTGACTAGGAGACTCTCATCTGCAAATATAATAATAATAATAATAATAATAAAAATAATAATAATAAATAAATAAATAACCATGGTCTTCCCTAGGTTAAGACTGAAGCAATTGAGGCACTTGTCAAGGCTGGTATTTTCAAAAATATTTGCCCATTACCATTCTGGACCAGGTCACCATCACAGATTTCAACATACCTCATCACAAAACTGAATACATTGACCGAGATCTCGGAGTGAGGTTACATAATAGATTACAATATATATATAGGACAAAGTCATATCTTCTTGACACTTATTACCTCTTCCACAGAAGATCATAATTAATTACCCTCAGAGAATAATTTCATCAGCTGTGAGAATAAAAATAACTGGGAATTATGATTTGCAGGTGAATTGGTCCTATCCAGGAGAAAAGCTCCCTCCCCCATCCTCCCACAAACACACACAAAACTACTGCCTTAGAAAAGGCTTATATTTTCACAACAGTTTGTTTCTCCATTTGTTTTAACAAACAAAATGGACAAAATCTATTTCAAATTTCTTCATAAATATACCAAACTTTGTAAGGCAGTATAATAGCACAAATTGTGTGCATGTGTGTGTGTGTGTGTGTAAATATATATATATATAAAACAGCAGTTTATATCATGGAGGAAGTCAAAAACAAATGAGCCAGAGGAAGTATATCTTGGACACATACACAGCACATAATGAATGCCAGTCTCAAGATGAAGGGTAATCTTCAGGTAGACTGTAGTTCAATATATACATATTATGGTACTGTATGTATACTTCAACAAGATACTGCCTCCACTGGCTCTGAGAGGTCAGTTAAATATGGACAACTTGTGATAGATGATATATATACATAAATACCCTGGCCAGTAGATACAGGTAAACCACCTGTGGAGCATTTAGCATAATAAATACCTTGTTATTTGATATACATTGGTCACTAAATCTTTTATCATTATCACTATATCATCATTTATTTTACTATTATTATTAATTTTTTTGGGTTGGGGTGGGGGGGGGGGCAGAATGTCTAACTCAAGTATGAGCTAATAAATTTGCTTGGCCAATTTTATTTGAACTGGGTAAGAAAAAGAACCTGATGTAATTCTTCATCTAATTTACATATACCAGCATAACTGCGCCTCTGTCAGTTTTTAATATCTTTAAATCTTTATCAGTGTTAACTTATTGCATTTAGCCATTTCTCTCTGATATTGTTTATAAAAGATACAAATCCTACTCCATTTGTGCATCAATATAAAACCATTCAATTAACAGTTTTTAAACTATTTGATGGCTGTAGAGACTTGTTTTTCATTTAGTACAAACAATTCCAGGTAAAAGCTTGTATATACATGCACTGTTATTTCAGTAAATTGTAACAACTGAGAATATTTCATTTCCTGGGCCTTTGTCCATATGGATATTTTATTTACTAATTTCCTATCATTTATTGATTTTATACTTACTGTCTATAGGTTGGTTAAAGACTGACGACTCTCCGAAATTTGTGTTTTCTTAACATACAATGTTTATCAGGCATATCAACTAAATGTCAGAACAGTCAGTTTAGTTGTTATCCTTTTCTTTTATTTAATTTATGGCGGGGGGAAATGTCATAGCCACAATATGAGTGATTTATGAACATAAATTATCAGCTTTAAGGGGTCAATTGCAAAAAAATTCCATTTACTAAACCAACACACACACAAGAAAAAAAAAGGAAAAAAAAATCTCTTATTCTAAATATGAGGGCCTGTCTGCACGTCTGTCTGGCCTAACCTCAAACAGCAAATACCTAATGCTTTAATATACAGCTGTATGTCTACACCCGGACCTTGTAACATTAGCTGAAGTCGGGGTAAAGACCAAGGGTTCAACTCGAAATATAACTTAGGATTACCAGTTGATCTGAACTTTAAAAATCACATTTGTCTTCACCTTTAATTTTGGATTAATTCTCAGCAGCCAACTTTAACAAAGTAGCCATCTGACAAAAATATTCACCATTTTTGATTAAAAAATATTTCACTTCCATGAACTACTACTGGGTCAAAAAGTAGACTGAAACTTTCAGTGTTTAAGTTAAGACAAACTTTCTGTCTCAAGTTGTATTTGGGAAAACAGGCCTCTGGACTTTTGTAGTTAGCAGAATGTTTAAACAACCAAAAAAAAAA